TGTCATTATGCAAGGCACTGCATTTAGCCGTATGGAGTGGAAATCCATCAACCTCATGAAAGCTATATGCATCCGAAGAAGTGGGCTGTAGTCCACGAAAGCTTATGCTCTAATAAATTTGTTAGTCTCTAAGGTGCCACAAGTACTCCTGTTCTTCTAAATGCAGTTGAATCAGTTGGAGGTGGTTACGATTAGATACATTTGTTTTGCATTAGCTGAGTTCTTGACTCCGATTAGCATGAAACACCTACAAATAACTATGATGTCAGTCCTGCAGGTTCTAACACAAGTGAATAGTCCCACTGTCTAATGAGCCTACTTGCCTGAGTAAGGAATTTGCAGGATTGAGCAATAAAGAAACATAAAAGGAATATAAACAAAATAAAAATTAAGCAGTAAATCACTAAGTAAGTAGAATAAGAATGGGCCCTGGTAACTGAGATCAGTGAGTTATTAGAAACTCCCTCAACAGCAGTTCACTTCCCCCTAAAGCGGAGCTCAGCTGTGTCAGCCACGATTGAGCTGACTAACTGTAACTCTATACTAGGTTTATGCAGTCTGTGTAGCCTGGCAGAAACTAGCCTAGAAAATGGCACACTGTCTATCTTTTAAGAGTTGACCTCTAGAGCACTCTGAATTTTCTCTTCCTAGCTTTTCATTTTGACCATTTTCAGCCTATTACTGTCTATACTATTCATCAGTTTTTCTTTCTTGCTCATCTATTTTCTTCATATAAAGGGGAGGGAAAAAGCATGATTTTTTTCCTTCCAGAATAAGGCAGCAAAGAAAGGTTTAACTTCCCCTCTGAGCTACAAAATGTATATATGGCTGCTTAATCCATTGATTTGAAAGGCCATTGTAATTATGGCAGTGTCCAAACTCTGGATTGAGTGTTAGGGGGCAGAATTGATTTACTTCAGCAAATTTGAACTAGAGCAGCAGAAGTGTTGCCAGTAAAGCCTGTAGAGCGTTAATAGTATTGATAATGTGCTTGCTGGCCTCTGAGTAGATTAGCCTAACAAATAAGCATTGAATGATCCCTCCCTCTCAACAGGGCTGAGAGCTAAACTAGCCAGTTTACTTCTCTCACTGGCTCTGACCTACTCATCCAAATTTATTCTTAATCAGATATAGCTATCACAAGCCATTTTGTGGCTTGAAGCATTGTCCATATTCTGGTTTCATCTGCAGATCTCAAACTCTTAAATAAAGGGGAAACAGCACTAAACCTGAGGTGTGTTGTATGAGCCAGAGAGCTGGCTTAGAAGAAACCAGTCTTTTAGTTAAACCACTGAAGGATCCTTTATACGAGTAGGGTAAAACTATATTTTGTATGATTCTACTTGGCAGCATAAGCCCCAAATGCAAGATGTGCATTGTTGATTTTATAGAAGTACATGAAAGTTAGTGCTGCATGTATTTTTTTTAAAGTTTGCTACTCTTTGTATTTAGCTCCATTTGAGCTAAAAAAAAAAAAAAAAGTGTCTTCCTGGGGGAAAAAGACACTCAATGACATTACAGAATGACTTGGGTGCTAAACTTTCAGTTGTCTAAAAAGATGTTTTATATGCACATTTAAATTCACTCTTTACTATGCTCTAGGTCTACTGTGAAAACTACCTGGAAAACTTTGTATAGTAAGTTTGAGGGAAACCCTTCCCAAAATGGTGGCCATTAAGTCGATATACATGGGGCTACTGTCCCCAGTCTATTTAGAGGCTGCAAATTCTGCAGCCCTGAGACAAACAAAGCTTCCATTGCCTTCAAGTGGTGTTTTGCTTGCCTTAGGAAAGCAGAATCAGCCCCTTAAGTTTTCTTTGAGTGAAACAAGCATTTTGAAATGCTGTGGTGTAACCAACTTCAGGTGGCTCATTGCACCTTTAATAAGACTGCTGAGCCCACCCTTGAGAATGGCACATTTTTATCCAAATATTATTAGACATAAATCAGTGTTAAAGTGACCTTTTATCTTTTTAGAAACTGGGTGGGTAAAAAGTACTACTGATCTTTTTCAAAGTGCATGACTGTAAAATGATAAAATTGTATATTTTTCATAATGTGGGGAAAGTATTTGAACTGCTTTGGGAAATCAGTTTGAAGTTTGATTTCTGTTAAACCTGTGATCTTTACAGCCCTCCTGTATATGATTTACAAAAGAAACTGGAATAAATTAGCACCCACTGTTGTGTACATAGCAAAATCTTTAGACATTAGCACGCATTTATACCTTTTATTGAACCACTTTGACTTTTTTGGGGGGGGGAGAAAAAATAGTAATCAGATTTTTTTGATATGTGTAAAACATTCATTTGAAATATTTTAGTAAAAATGAAGTATGAGATTGTGATAGTGTATACTTTCAGTTGAATAAAATAAAGTACATTCTTTGTAAGTGAGCTGTGATGCTTAATAATTTTGATAGAACACTGAAATATTTTTACAGTGAGTTAGTACGAGAAATAAAACACCTACATCGAATAAGATTTCCTCTTGCAGCAGTATGAACATGGACAGTAATTTTAGGGACACAGACTATGTAGGGCTAGTAGGGAAAAAGATTTTGAAATAACTTGGAAAAGCCATTAAATTCAGATCCAATTTTATTTGGGTACAAGTGAATGAAGCAGTCCTATTTATAACCAAGGTGTAAATCACAGTATGTTGTTACATTCAGACTTTCACACTTAGAAAATATATATATTTATGTACAGGAATTTGCAAATAGGTGTAAACATACTTAATTTTTCAAGATAGCAGTACATTCCAAAACAAAAATATTAGCAAGGCAAACATCTCAAAATGATTTCTGTCAGCTGGGGGTTGTAAATATATACATATTAAATAAAGTAGCTCTGATGCTTAACATTAAGAGGAGAGTTACTTAATGAAAATGAACTTTTTTTACACTCTAGATGGAATTTCAGGATATCTGACTATTTTGATACTCAAAAGTAGGCACTGATTTCTAGAAGAAAATTTACTTCTTACCGATATAAATGAGCCAATATGGCTGGTTAAAGTCACTAGTACAAAGTAATCCAGTGTTGGAATAACTCAAGACAATTTAGTCAGACAACTTAGTTTTAAATCAAATGTATAAATTTAGATTTTTAATTAGCTCTGCCGTGTCTATATTAAAAGCCTATATATCTTGCCATTAACAATACTGCAAGTAGGTCAACTAAGATTCCATTTCACTGTTCCATGTCTTTATATACTATACCAGAATCTAGATTATACAAATTACTTTCCTATTTATCTTTACAATATGGTCACTGCTCAATTATTCTGCCTTTTAAACTATTCCTCAAAATTAAAAGATATTTGTACACAATTCTCATGCTATCTCATCCATGTAGCACGTCCAAGTCCTGCAACAGGTGGCATAACAGGTGGTGGTATTGGAGGTGGTACTGGTGGTTGTCCACCAGGGGGAACTGTGGGAGGGGGATAATTGGCTGGTGGCATTCCCAGCCCTGGAGGTGGATGAGTTGGAGGCAGTCGTGGAGGTGGGAAGTTAGGATTGTACGTAGGTGGAGGAGGGTACCCAGGAGTAGGTGGTGGGATATTAGGGGGTGGAAATGATGTAGGCGGAGGTGGAGGAACAGGTGGAGGAGGGTTAGGAGGATACACGTGAGGATGATACGGTAAGTGAGTTGGTGGTCCATAAGCTGGTGGCAAAGCTCCATAGGTTGGTCCTTCGGTTTTCATCATTGACTGAAGACTCTGATAACCTTCCCCTGACATGTAAGAATTTGTAGTGGACATCCCGGTTATGTAACTGGAAGGTGGAGGTGGTGGAGGACGATGAGGCATAGGTGGTGGCTGATGTACGGGTGCAGGATGAGCTGGAGGAGGAATCTGGACCTTTGGTATCTCTACAGAGTCTACTGTAGTACTTTGCTCTGCTTCTCCCATTGAAACTGCAGTTGTCAAAGGAAGCTTACGGTCTGCAACAGACAAAAAAAGCTTCATTTACTTTTCTGTAGCACAGCAATAAGGACTACCTACACGGCTATGTTTTTCTTAAAATGTTAACATGTGGCACATAGTAGCCTGCTCTCTTCCTGTTTGTTCTGCAGCTAAAATAGTTGGAAATCACATGCAATAAGACCTTGTAAGGTCAAAACATAGAAGAAACAGCAGATACCCCACAGTGAAAATTAATGTGGTTATTCTTAGAGACGAATACATTTATTTGAGCATATGCTTTCGTGGGCTACAGCCCACTTCATTGGCTGCATAGAATGGAACATATAGTAAGGACATATATATACACAGAGAGAACATGAAAAGGTGGGAGTTGTCCTACCAACTCTAATAGGCTAATTAATTAAGAGAAAAAATTTCTGTAGTGAT